CAGAGCCGCCTGCCCTGCCTCGCTCCCCCTTTCTCCCAGCCCCAAGCCCAGCAGGGCCCTCCGCCAGCTCTCTGTGGCCGCCCAGCCCGGTCACTGCCTCGAATAGAGTTCGTCACCTTCTCTTACAGTTCTTTTCTGCTTCCCCACATTCTCCCCACCCTCAGAGCGTCAAGGACAAGTTCCACCCGTTTGGCCACCCCGGTCGGACCTCCTGTATCACGTAACCGTCCCCCCTCTCACAGTGGACATCGGTCTCCATCCCTTGGTTGGAGGGGGACATCTGCCCTGTGTGAGCGTTTGTTTCAGTGGCTATGTTGCTCTTATGTGGCTATGCAGTTTCTTCCCTTGGGCAGGTGGCTGGGGTCCGGGAACAGCAGTGGCTGTGTCTCTGGTTCCTTTTCTGGGGCCTGTGGATTCCGGGCTTTCAGGTCCGAGCAGGAGGCTGTGAGCAAAAGAGCGAGCCCCGTGGTTAATCCTACAGGACAGCCCTGGGTGGAGGCTGGGCCCGTCCTCTCAGCCACCGGACAGTGACCTACTTTCCCTTCTTATCTGTGTGCAAAATATTTGTTGTACTGAGTGTGTTCTCCCTGTCACAGCGAATGTTTGTCTCTGCCTTTCATATAACCGGACGCTCATGTGCTAGTTGAATCAGTGGGGAAGCACAATGGAGGAGAAACGTTGGTAAGCGGTTTTACTTTCTGAACGAGGGCCTTGTAATTATGTCATTAAAAAATCTCCATAGTGTCTGTATATCCTTCTCCACCTGCCTGCCTACCTCTTGAGAGACATGAGTAAAGGTGGATGGTAAGTTTTACGTTTTTATGCCTTTTAATTTGATGGCTTACAGTGTAATAATGGGGTATTTTGATAAACTGCTTGTAGAGGGAAATGAACTTTCCTTAATCAGGCATGACAGTGTAGTTCATATTGAGTATTTCATTGCTCAGCAGACTTCCCTGGGAAAAATTGTTGTACGGTTCTATATAAAATCAAACTGATGATCGTTAAAATTCATTTTTGTATAGCTGTACAGGTTGTATACTATATTTATTCAAGGGAGGAAATGTGTGTATGTGGGGGGCGTTTGTATGTACCCTTATAATAAGTGTATGCAATATTGCTGTAACCTATAGAACTTTTGGAAATTAGCAGACCTGTTATTCAGATACTTTAGAATGTAGTTAGAGATGTGTGAGAGATGTACAATAGTGCATTTGATTCCAAACTCAGGAATGCTCTCAACATCAGAGAAACAAAAACAATTGACCCAGAAAATACTTCCAAATTCTAATATGATTACTGATTTTAATCAGCTTAGGTGAAATCGCCCACTGCCTTTAAGCTATTTTCTTTTAAAATTCTTCGTAAATGACAATGCGGTTTTGCCCTCTCAGTTGACATGATCCGTGTCTGTTTTGGAACCTTTTCGCTGTTTTTGTGTGATCATTTCCTAACCAGCAAACATTCAGGAACTCCTATAAACACCTCTCCCCGGTTACCCCGTGTCGTGGCCTCAGCCTGGGGGGGAACTGCTTGAAGGCGCCTCTGAGTTTTTATTTCTCGGAAAGGAGACGCACTGTTGAGTGACGCCTGTTTTCCTCTTCTCTTAAGGCACAGGGTTCTCAGTCTGTACCTTCGGATCCCTGGTGCTTTCATAACCAGAGGAATCGATTAAAATTCACTGCCGCTCGCAGCGGCCCACGTGGCTGTACACTCACGCGCCTCGTGCCTTTACGCGGCCCTCCTGTGCGTTTCCGTGCTGTGTGTGGTTAGGCCCTAAACGCTTTAGAATCTTTTTTACCTCTGAGTAAATGTCATGGAGAAAGACACTCGTGGACTCGCATTTTTGGTTTTGAACGGCTTTGGTAACCAGACCCAGGATGTAGGAACTCATCTGTCCAGAGGTGAGTCTTTTTCTTTTGGTTGTTGAGTCACTAATGATGGGCGCTGGGACAGGATCTTAGGAGCTGACGTATTCACCCTCTCTGTGGGGAAACTGAGGCTCAGAATCGGCCGTGTGCCCGGCCTCCCAGGTGAGCTGGCTGCAGAGCCGGGTCTGCAACGTGGCCCTCTGGGACTGGCTCCGGAGCCGCTGTGGGTGGGTGTAGCCGGTGGTCTGGGCAGAATGCTTCCTGAGCCCGAACAGCAGGAGCGCGCCGCACTCTGCACCTTCCCCTCCACTGTCACTGACAAGAGCCGGAATGACTCCGCTTTTAAGAGAAGCTAGCTCTGCTGTGGTGTGTGAGCATCTTAGTTCGGCCAGTTGTCTTCAAACATCAATCGACAGGGCCCCCCAGAACTCACGGGTACAAGCAACCCCGTGTGGGTGGCTGCCAGGTGCCAGTCACTGTAGCTTTCATTCGAAGGGCAACGGGGAGCGGTCGGATGGTCTGATCAGGGAAAGGCCGCGGTGTGAGCAGGGGAAGGGGCAGGGGTCGGGAGGACTCACTCGGTGAGGATGTCAGCACCAGGTTGGGACCCTCTGATCACAAGCCAGTTCGCTTGCCAGGAAGCTGGTTTCCGCTGGCCCTGGACTCGGGTTCATGGTCACGGGTCGTAGTTGACGTCTGCGCACTGCCCAGGACCGGGCAGAGCCGGAGGGTCCGTCCGTGCCATTGGGGCAGTTCTGCCTTCATCTGGGGGGGCCAGGGTCCTGAGTTTGCCAACCTAAACGCGTTCGACTTGGTGGGATTTTAAACTCTGCCTGGAGGAGCCGAGTGAGGAGTCCATGGTCGCTCGCGCGCCCCCCGGGGCCCAGCGCCGCGGCGTCTGTTCTGGCTGGAACGGTGGCTTATGGAGTTTCTCGCGGGCTTCTCAGACCTGAGCTCATTGACAGGCATCCGGTGTGAGCAGAGAGCACGGCCCGAGTCCCCGAAAGCCAGACTTGCTCGGGTTTTGGTTGCTGGCGTGTGTGGGGGGGAATGGCTGGGGCTTCCCCACCAGGTCTCGGGCGGTGTCATGGGCAGCTGTTCCTGCGGTGACTGCAGAGTGTGCTGGGGGCATTGCCCCAGGAGGGAGTGCTGTTGGCTCACCCTCCTCAGGGGCTGCACCCCGTGGAGTGCCTGCTGCAAAGGAGGACCCACCTGCCGGAAGGCAGCACAGGGGCCAGGGCGCCCTTCAGCATCAGGAGCGGAGATGGCGTTGGCAGGGAGCCCGCGACAGAGAAAACCTTCGGAGGCAGGGGCCGCGCAGTACCCTGAGGACGGAGTGGGCGCTGCCATCCCAGATTTGAGATCAGAATCCCTTGGATCCGAGCCTGGGTCTGATCGGAGCCTTTGTCCCCCGTCCGGTGGGTCAGAGGGAATGAATTCTCTGGGAAACCCTTGCTCCCACCCGTCTAGGGAGTTCCCTTTCCCAGTGGAGAGGTGCAGCTTCTCCGTGAGAAACCGGGGTCCCGGGAAGAGTCGGGCGACTGGGAGGGGGGGTAGGTGGGAGGGTGTGCGTGAGGGAGTAAGTGTGCACACCACCGCCAGCCCCGCCGGAAAGCCTCCTCCTCACCCCGCTCGTCCAGGAGCTGGATGTGCGACACCCGGGCCTTGTCTCTCTGCCAAAGGAAGGTTTTGCCTGGGACCCTCGGATGTTTGGCTCAGACACCAGAAAGGATAGGGCGCAGCGTCCAATCCCAAAGCGTCAGGCTTGTCAGAACGGCCGCTGCTGTTTTTGACTCAACAATCCCTCTCATCAGTCGAGGTAACGTAGTCCCTTTTCCACACTTGGAAAGAAGCACCTCTTTTAAACCGATCGCTGTGAACTGTGAAGTTCAGATGCTGCCGTTCAAACCCTTAATCCCGGCCTGTGTGGGGCTCGAGGGCTGCCCCGCTTCTGCCGACCAGCTGTCCCACCTGCAGACAGAAGCGAACCTGGACGCTGCCAACACCTCTGGGGGAGGGGTAACCAGGGCGCTGAATGAATTGCCTTCCTAGGCACAGAGCTTTGTAAGGTTGGGGTCTGCTCTATGACTTGGGGGCTTCCAAGGATTGACCTCCTCAACTTGCCGTCTCCCCAGCGTGAAGCTCTGTGCCCATTAAACAGCTCCCTGCTCCCCCTCGTCCAGGCCCTGGGAACCCCCATTCTCCCCTCTGCCTCTGTGAGTTGGATCACCCCAGCACCTCATGGAAGGGGTTGTGTGGTATTTGCCCTTGCGGGACTGGCTTATTTCAGTTGGCACGTTGTCCTCAAGTTTCACCCATGTGGTATGTAGCCTGTGTCGGAATTTCCTTCCTTTGTAGGGTGACTGCTGTTCCACTGCGTGTACGTCCCATCTGTGCATCCGTGCATCCATCGGTGGGCTCCTCAGTGGCTTCCGCCTTTGACTCTAGTTACTGCTGCTGTGAATAAGGTGTACGGGGGTCTGCCTGCTTTCATACCTTGAAGGGAACTGCTGCATCATAGGCAATTCTTTATTTCTCTGTTTCCCCTTCAAGGGTCTGCTAAGGCGTGTGACCGTGGTCCTAAGGACCCTGGAGAGGTATGGAAGGACCCAGAGTGGGCGCATCCAGGCTGATGGGGGTTCAGAAAGTCATCGTGGTTTAGAAAGGGCCCAGTGGGTCATGGACCGGGAAGGAGGGGCTGGCCGCGGGGGCTGGGGTGGCCGGGGTGGCCGGGGTGGCCGGAGGGCAGAGAGCCACCCAGGCTCTGGCTTCCCGGTGAGAGGGGAAGGCTGGGTGGGGCAGTCACACTGGGGGGTGGAGCGGAGTGATGAAGGTGGCAGAGTCCATGAAAAAGGTTGGCTGTGGGAGAAGGAAGGAGGAGACAGGGCAAGGCCAAGGATGAGGACCTGGGTTCGTTGTGGGGTTTAGGGGGAGCGGGAGGGTTATTTTTGTTTGTTCTGTACTTGGGTGTGGATGGTAGACGGTATGTTCAGATGGTAGACACAGCCTTGCGGGCAGGCTGTTGATAAAACGGCTGTGAATTTGGGGACGGGGTGAAGAATAGAGGGGCAGGCGGCCGTGCAGTTTGGCTGATTAAAAGTGTGGGGTGTTTATTGTTGGTGTAGCACCACCGTGTCACAGCTGCTGTGGGCCTAATGTCCATCCCTACCTCGAGGCAGAAATAGATCCGTCAAGATCATAACACCAGAAACGATGGCCAATTCATTGGTTAATCAGAATCAGGTTCCATAGGGATTCTAATGAACTCAAAGGATGTTTTAGACCAGCCGTGGGCAAACGTTTTAGACGGCCCGTGGGCCAGATCCGGCCTGTTTAAAATGAATAAAACTAAAAAAAAAAAAAAAGACCGTACCCTTTTATGTAATGATGTTTACTTTGAATTTATATTAGTTCACACAAACACTCCATCCTTGCTTTTGTTCCGGCCCTCCGGTCCAGTTTAAGAACCCATTGTGGCCTTCGAGTCAAAAAGTTTGCCCACCCCTGGTCTAGACTAAAGCATGAGTGTGTTGAGTTTGGCTTATGTTCTTTTTTTGCTCAACGTGGATTTCCCCCCCATCATTAGAAAAGTCGCTTGAAATTTCAAAAGTTGCTTCTTTTCTTGGCCGTCTCACTGGACTGGGAGCTGCTGGGGGTTGGCCTGGGCTGGGGAAGCACCACGATGGTTCCTGTCCTGTGCCCAGCACTTAACGCAGTGCGGAGAGCAGCCGGGCTCTGTACACGCGGGTGAGCCGAACTGAATGGGCATTAGCCGGGCTCTGTACACGCGGGTGAGCCGAACTGAATGGGCATTAATCTCACTGCTCTCCACGGTGAGATTTGGGCTATTGTCGCCGAGCGAGGAGGGAAACCCCAGCTTTTCTCGGGCGCTGAGCTCATTGCGTTAGGCACTGACCCGCATCCCGTAGCCTTGGCCGCTGTCCGCCTTCTGTCTTGCCGTCAGGATTCGCTCAGGTTTATTGTTTTTGTTCATGAAATCTTGCCACATTGGCCCCATTTTCTTACTCAAATGTGTTTCTCATGTTGTTCTTAAAAGCCTCAGTGATCTCATCTTTGGGAGCCAAATAGCCCAGTTCCGTGTCCTGCCCTTTGTGGATAATGTGTGTTCGGAGGAATGGGTCCGAGTGGCCGGCAGCTGCGGGATCACTGTCGGCTGTGACAGGCCGGCCCGCCCGGGCAGCTGTGAGGACGTGTGCTGGGGAAGGGCTCACCCCGGGCAGCTGTGAGGACGTGCGCTGTGGAAGGGCTCACCCCGGGCAGCTGTGAGGACGTGCGTTGTGGAAGGGCCCCCTGGGCAGCTGTGAGGACCTGCGCTGTGGAAGGGCTCACCTGTCCGTCGGAAACCTGTGTGCTCGCTCCCCTGGGTGCTTCCCTGAACGCCTCCCCGGGCGAGGGCGTGCACCTCAGCTTTGGGGAAATAAAGACGAATAAGGTGCGACCCTTGGCACCGAGGGGCTGGTTCTGGAGAAAGGGGGCCACCCTGTGCACGTGGCCGCGCACCAGGGGGTGAAGGCGTGGAAATGGAGTCGGGGAAGACCAGCGGTCGGTGGGTTGGTGTGCGGGGAGGCCTCCCTGAGAGCCCGTCTCTGCCTCTAGAGCTGATGGCCTTCCTAGGCGTGTAACGGCCTCAGTCACAGTCCCCGAAGCGGCAGGTACTGCGTTCGGTAAGTCGTGGCTCTGAGGGATTTGCTTGCCAAGTTCCTTCGAGTTTAAAATCATGTTCATGACTTCATATCGACCCTGGTCATCATTGCAGCCCCAGGTCTGATGTGTGAATGTTCTTTGAGATTCTACAGTAAAACTGTTTTAACTTAAAAAAATACACATTTGTTTGCATATGTGGTACCCCGAGAGCTTTGAATGACGCGGGAGACCAGCAGATGCTCTATTCAGCTTAGCCTGAGTGATTACTTTGGAGTCGCTTTTTCAGCGTTGCTGTTGTTTTTTTAAAAAAATATATTTTTATTGGTTTTAGAGAGGAAGAGGGAGGGAGAGAGAGAGAGAGAGAGAAACATCAATGAGAGAGAAACATTGATCGGCTACCTCATGCACACCCCTAGTAGGGATCTAGCTTGAAACCCGGGCATGTGCCCTGATGGGAAATTAAACCATGACCTCCTGGTTCATAGGTCAGTGCTCAGCCACTGAGTCACCGCGGCCTTGAGTTTTGATATCAAGTAGAATGACCTTGCACTTCCCATGGATGTGCGTCTCGTTTGGCAGCTCTCGTGCGGGACTGTTGGGTCGGCACATGCTGGTCTTGACCTTCCCGAGCACGGAGGACATTAGCGTGGTAGGTGACTTGTGGTTTCAGGTTGGTGACTGGGGCGGACTACTTATGTGTAAATGGTAGCTCACAGGTGCCCGTTTTAAGGCGATAGATGATGTTTATGCTGCATTCTTTGATTTTGAGGAATTCTGGAAATGATGCTTTCAGTTTTTTAAATGGTGTCTTTACACCATTGGGAGCAGACCAAGGCTGGAGCTAGTGGTCAGTCCCTCTGTAGGAAGCTGGGCGGGACCTGTGCACGGTGTCTCAGCACCCATGTCACCGGGAGATGAGGGCGGGTCACTGTTCCCTCCGCCCAGATGCTGAAAAGACGAACACAGCACACAGCACGGGGCGTGAATGACTCCGTGGACGTTGGTGCCGCCTTTCAGTTGGTTTACTGTTTTGTATTTGTGTTTCCGGAATTTCCGCCTTTTACCCGTTGCCTGGGCCTCAGCCTCGGTTTTGCCCTCTTCCCCCTTTGGGATTTCAAAGTTGGGAGAGAAGTGTAGCCATTAGAACCACTCAAACTTGCATGAGGCCTTTCAGAAGATGGGGGGCGGGTTAACGACAGAGGAAGGTTGGCTGCGGGACTGTGCTCACCTGCGGGCAGCTGCTCCCGGGAACAGACTGTGTACAGAGTCTGCGGGGCAGCGGGTTCCCCCGTGGACTGCGCTTCGTTTAAATTGCTGGTTTGAGGTGCTTCTTTTTGAAACGCATCTCAGGTTGACATCCCCTTAGTCCCGAAGCCTTCTTCTCATCCGCCAACGTATATGTAGTGAATCGCAGCTAGAGTGCTGTCGGCATTTCACGCGTCTGAGAACTTGACATTCGATTTAAATGTTAATTCATTGTGACAAAGGTTGGCTGCTCACGTTCCTACTCCTGTGCACGTCTTTCCAGGGCCTTGGCCTGAGCCCAGCTCTCTCCCCGGCTTCCCTGCATCTCCGGAGCAGCCAGGGCCCCACCCCCATCTTCTAGTTCAAAGTGCAGGACCCATTCTTACTGCTGCTCTTGTTGGATTTTAGGAGATCTGGGCTGTTTATTCCAGGTGTATTGACGTGAAACTAAAAAACACCCCCACATTAACAAGAGAGTTAACTCTATTTTTCCTCTTTTGAATATTAAACACTCCCCCATTGGCGTCTTTCTGTTTATGGGACAGCCTCTGCTGCTTCTTGGTCTCTCTATTTTGGCTTTTCGGTGCACACTTAAAAATGTTTAATAGGATCAGGAATAAAATACGTGGTTGTGGATTCCTATAAATCACTAGTGGTTAATAATAAGGAGTTACAGAACTCCCAGTCCTCCTGGCCCAACTAAATGCAGCTTCTGTCGCCTCTCAGAGACTACTAGATGTTCCCGACTGGAACAGGGGGGCATTTATTTGAATTGCTAAGTTTTAAGGAAGTAGACCAACCTTTATAAGGTCCGATAAGCCTGGGCGACTCCATAATGGGAAGAACCAGATGTACTTCCTCCTCAGCATCAGGCACATGAATTATACATGGGCACTCCTTGCACGCTACTCTTAGTTTGCTGTTTTGGTTGTGTGTCTGCTGGAGTGAGAATTAGGAGTATCGGGGTCACCCTTGGCAGGTTGTGTGACACAGGCGACCTCAGGTTCACAGGCGGTGGTGTGCTTTCCTTTAGGAGTCAGTGCTGATGCCTGGTGGGGACCCCCCCCCCTCCCACCCAGGTGCAGGGTGGTAAGTGGTGATTGAGGTCAATGGCACTCTCAGGTACCGCAGCAATATTTCTTCATTTCTCTGAGCATTCTAATCTTAACATGAGGGTAATGATAACGATACCTCTCTCAGAGTGAGTGGGACAATTCAGTTAATTAATGCATATACAGTGCTTAGCACACCATCTGATATGGGGCAAGTGCTCAGTAAATGTTAGCGTCGTTTCTCAAGCCTTGTTTCCTGGGGAAAGGCCTTCTGGATGTTGCCAAGGAGTCCTGGGGGATGCCACTTTGGGGGAGCAGGTTCATGTAGGTTTAAGTGTGACCTCGGTGTGCAAGGGTTGGTGGGAATGGATGGCTTGGGCTCTTTCACGAGGGTTTTGCAGCTTCTGGTGGGGGCGCGAGGGTGGTCTCCAGAGGAAAGCGGGGACCTTGGCTTCCTAGGGGCTCTCTCTGGCGATGGACCTTGCCCGGGACTAGAGGCTGGAGGGAGGGAGGCTCATGTGTGGCAGCAGGTTGGCACGTGGGGCTCCAGTGGTGTGACGCGGACTGTGGCCCCCTGAGGGGTTTCTCACACAGGTTGTCAAGAGGGGAGGGTCTGATGTTGGCGAGACAGGGAAGGCCATTGGGCACTGCCTGCCCGTCACTTCTCCACGGGGCGCAGCACACATCTGAGAGGATGTCACTCGCTTACGTTGACCCTGTTCTCGCCTTCCCTGCAGCTGGGAACCATGGCCAAGATGGAGGTGAAGACGTCCCTGCTGGACAACATGATCGGGGTCGGCGACATGGTGCTCTTGGAGCCCCTCACGGAGGAGACCTTCATCAACAACCTCAAGAAGCGCTTTGACCACAACGAAATCTACGTGAGTCGCCCGCCAGGCCCCGCGTGGGGCTTCGACTTTGTGTTTTGTGGCAGAGAGCTGGCTCTTCGTCCTCAAACTCTTCTCGTTCTCTCTCTTTTCTGTTGGTCAGAGTCCGGAGGTATTTGTTTATACCCTCAGCCAGAGTTCTGTGTTTGCTCGGTTGGCACACAAGTAACACTGATTAGAGTCTGTTTACACGGGGTGGCTGCGGGGTGCCGACGGGGCGCTGGTGTGCTAGACGGTGGGGGCATCTACAGCGAGCGGAGATACTGAGCTTCCGCCTTCTGAGGAATGGGTGCCGGGGGAGTTGGGAAATCCATAGGCATAAGATCCTGGATGCCTTTATAGGGCTAGCAGTCTATTCTTTGAGAAGCTACTCAGTAGAATGCAGGGAGTGAACTGTCAAAAAAGATAGGAATCTTGTGGCCCAGCTGGTGTGGCTCCGTAGTTGATCATCGACCTATGAACCAGGAGGTCACGGTTCGAAACTCAGGGCACGTGCCCGGGTTTCGGGCTCGGTCTCCTGTGGGGGGCATGCAGGAGGCAGCTGATTGATGTTTTCTGTCATCAATGTTTCTATCTCCCTCTCTCTCTAAAAATCAATAATTAATATATATTTAAAGGATATGAATCGTCTTGACATTTGTAGTTAAGTAGAGGCAGGAGCAAATGACCAGATAAAAATATGTGTTTGGTCCTTAGAGGTTTGGGAATAGTCTTGTCCTGCTATCCAAAATTATAGTGTTCATCAACAAAAGTGAAAGCATCTAAATACATACACTAGGAGAAGAAATTTCTTTTAAAAAATTATTTTATTGATTTTTTTTACAGAGAGGAAGGGAGAGGGATAGAGAGTTAGAAACATCGATGGGAGAGAAACATCGATCAGCTGCCTCCTGCACACCCCAAACTGGGGATGTGCCCGCAACCAAGGTATATACTCTTGACCGGAATCTAACCTGGGACCTTTCAGACCACAGGCCGACACGCTTATCTGCTGAGCCAAACCGGTTAGGGCTAGTAGGAGAAATTTTATGTTGTAAAAATTCTTTATAAAGGATTTCACAAGATTACTTTAACTATCAAGTTCCTTAAATATATTTAAAACATGAGTAAAAAAGACACGTGCAGTTTTTCAGGAGTGTGTGTACAGCACGGAAATTTGCATCCATTCGGGCCAAGGTGCAGTGTTAGCGAAACCAAGGAAGGGGTGTGGCTCCCTGTCCAGGGGCTGAGGAAGCAGGATGGATCGGATGGGAGTGTATAGTTTCAACAGACTCGGCTGCACCTCTGCGTTCTTCCCCTTTTTACAGTGCATCTGTGTCGAGAGATGAATGGGATTATTGGGACATGCTGCATATTTTTCTATTAATATGGGAACAGACAGTAGGAGAAAATATCTATACTAATAAAAGCCCACAGGGGAGAGCAGTTAGGGGCGATCAGGCCGGCAGGGGAGAGCAGTTAGGGGCGATCAGGCAGGCAGGCAGAGAGGTTAGGGGGATCAGGCAGGCAGGTAAGCGGTTAGGAGCCAGTGGTCCTGGATTGCAGGAGGGATGTCCGACTGCCAGTTTAGGCCTGATCCTGGCAGTCAGATATCCCCCGAGGGGTCCCGGATTGGAGAGGGTGCAGGCCAGGCTGAGGGACACCCCCCACCCCCCATGCATGAATTTTGTGCACGGGGCCTCTAGTATGTAAATAAAAGGAGAGAGAGGTCATATCGGGTACAAGTAGGATCAATTATGACTTCTGTGCAACTGGTATATTTTTTAAAATTATATATGCAAAGGCATGCGATTTTATGTCGCACAGAGCTTTCCTTTCCAGGTAGCCCATCCTGTTTCAAGGATAACTTTGGATCGTTTCTTAATGAAATGATCGTCCAACTGTTCGTCTTTGTGGGTTTATACGGTTGGGGCAGGAGGAGGTGGACAGTAACATGAGATGTGTGGAGACTGCTTTGGGGGCATTCATTTGATCACTGGGTCAGACCTCCGTTCAGAGCCGTTATGTGTAAAGTGCAGGTTCGAATGGAAGAGGCATAAAACACCGCTGCCCCGCGGGAAGAGGTATTGTCTGGTTTGGCAGTGAGACCCGGTGTCGCCTTCCCTGGAGGTAGAGCAGTTCGGCTGGCTTCGGGTGGGAACACCTCGGGTTCTGCAGCGTTCATTGAAAGAACGGTCTGATAGCACACAAAAGGCGGGCTGGAAGCCTGGGTCTCTGCGATGGAGATAGCAGGACTCAATGCGACCGTAGCTACGGGGCCGATCGCTTTTCCTTTTGGCCCAAGGAGCCCCGTGCACTTTCAGATGAACTGAAAATGGGGTGGAGGGTGGAACGTTACACGCATTCAGGTACCCGGTTTGTTGTGGCCACGAACAATGACACAGTCCCCTTTCTAACAAAATGCCAAGTGCTCACCTGAGTCTTTCGCAGACGCCATGTCTGGGTTCAGCCCTGCGTAATTTTATTTTCTAACTATTTTAGGAACGCCCTTTCTGGTGTAAAACAAAAGCAGAAAATTGCTTCCTGCTTTCGGATACGCATTTCAGCGCATCTTTCCAGGATACTTTAGGGCCATTGCTTCCTTGAGATGCGTGGCTTCATCTTGTAACGGTGACACCCATCCTATTGGAGGGCTGGAAATTCTCTGTTTTATTTTAAGCCAAAAAATATTTCCGGTGACAGCGTCATGTCCGTAGTGTGATCCTGCTTTTTGTCATGGGGGGGTTTATGGGCGTGTGCACGTGTTTGTATATCTGTGTGCTGTGAGGATGCTGACTTTGGGTGCCAGAGTGGGACGGATGGGATGTGGGGACTGGGAAAGGTTACGCTTTGAGACTTCTGTGCTATAGGGCTGGTGACGTCGAGCATGTATTGTTTTCGTAAATAAAGAAAGACTGGCCAGTAGATTTGGTCATCAGCCCTCTGCAGCCTCACAGGTCATGCAGAGCAGCCTCGGGAACCTGTTTGTGGCTCTTGCTTTCATTCATGGTGGCTGTAAAATTGTTTATCCTGACGCCAAAGACCAAGTTAACATGACCCGCAGTATTTTACTGTCTGACACTTCATTTTTTAAAAGATCCCTTTTGTAGTCTCACGGCTTTGTTTTATTCTCTAGAAATGGGTGCAGACACACTGCACAGTCCTGGTTTCAGAGCCGTGGTTGATAGGGGCCCAGTGAGCAGAGGGCCCTGGGCCCAGACGGCTCAACCACTGAGCCACGCTGGCTGGGCTAGTTTGCTTTCTCTCCGAATTGTCAGGTTGGGGATCATCTAGGTAAAGAAGTCTGAATTCGCCTAAAATTTTAGGATCTTAATTTAATTGTAGTTGTAAGAGGACTGCTTTGAAAATCCAGTGAAAATTATCTTAATTTTTAGGAGTTAGTGGTGAGTTAGGATTCCCATAGAGTTGGCCTAGCACAGTGGTCGGCAAACTCATTAGTCAACAGAGCCAAATATCAACAGTACAACGATTGAAATTTCTTTTGAGAGCCAAATTTTTTAAACTTAATCTATAGAGGTAGGTACGTTGTTATTCACTTAATTGGGGTACTCCTAAGGCTTAGGAAGAGCCACACTCAAGGGGCCAAAGAGCCGCACGAGGCTCGCGAGAGGCGGTTTGCCGACCACTGGCCTAGCAGGTCCTTTTGGGAAAGACCCTCAGGTGTGTGCTCCGGGAATGCTCATTGTTTTTGCACCGAGGTGGGCTCACGCACCTGTTGAAAAAGCCTTGAGTTGGTCCAGGCAGAGTCTCTAAATGGTCTTTGCAGTTGCAGATGGAGGAGATCAGGTGAGAATCACAGAGGGATGTTGGCCTGGGGGGAGACCTGCGGGGTCGGAACCCTTGGCTTAGCGGGCGCCCGCAGTCCAGCGGCCTCGTGGGAAATGCTGGCTGTGACATCCCGAGCCCGGCTGCTTTCTTCCTCCTCTCTGTCCTGTGTCACACGTTCTTCTGCCCCCCCCATCCCTCCCCCTTCTGCCCCGCCCCACCCGATGGGAGGGTGGCAGGGTTTCCGTGCACTTGTCAGGGAGGTGACCCAGCCAGACGCGGTGCCATTTTTAGGGGCACCGGCCACGGCTGTGGTTCGGCTCAGGAACAGCAAGGCTGCAATTTGGGCAGGAATAAGCCCACGGCCACTTTGCAAAAAGAACCTGGGTGTCTGTTCTCTGACGAGGAGGTATTTTCGGTGCTGACAAGTAGCTTTTGTTTGTTTGCTATCCGAACGATCAGGTTTGGGGACCATCCAGATAGAAGCGTCTGAATTAATCCGATTTTAGGATCTTAAATGGATTGGGGGTGTAAGAGGACCTCTTCGAAAGTCTGGTAAAAAGGATCTTAATTTTCAGAAGTGAGTATTAGACTTAGGATCCCCCTAAGGAGGGGATTAGATGTTTTTATGAAAGATACTTAAATGTCAGTGCAATATATTTGGTTTAAAATATTGCAAAGGAAATGAAAATAATACTAGTTAACACTTGTGTATTTATCTGAGGTTCCTAAACCACTTTTTATACACACACATGGAAATTCCCACCTATGGGTATAACGTATGTCCCTGGGAGTTTGTATAGATGGCGTACCAGTTTCCTCTCGCTGCGGGATGAGTTGCCCCAACCGTACATACGGCCGACAGTAACATGCATTCGTCACCTCGTGGTCCCTGTGGGTCGGGGTTGGGGCACGATGTGGCTGGCCCTCTGCTGGGGTGTGTCCAGGCTGTGGGGGTGTGTCCAGCAGGAGGGGTTCCAGGGAGACTGGGCCCTTCCCTGGGCTCCCGGGTGGCTGGCAGGACCTGAAGCCCTCGTTGGCAGCGGCTGGAACACACACATCCACGCTAGTGCTGTCCTGCTACCCGGACGGTCTCCTTTTTTTTCTTTTTCTTTTTGAAATTTCCTTTAAAAAGTGTAGTTTGTTTCTTTTCAATTACAAAAGTAACCAATGCTTTTGGAAAGAAAATTCAGATAATACAGGCATACCTAGCATAAACATGTGATTTT